CTCTTCCCTCCCTACGTCTGGGAGCCGCTCATCCGCCCTGGGTGCGGCGCTGCCGGCCGCCCGCGCCTTTTCTCGCGCTCTCGTGACTCTTGCTGCGAGCCCTCTCTCCCGGCTGGCTGAAGGAGCAACGCAGACGTAGCCTAGACGACAAGCTCCCTGAGTGTTCTTCAAGTTAAAAGCATTTTTCTCTTGAGTTCATCAGACTCCTTTTCACCTGTAGTAAGCAGCATGTTCGCACCGAGCACACAGTCCATTACAGAGTTGGCATCCATCTGCTCACCTGCTTCTGGCTTAGGTGACCCTCACGATGGAGGGCAGGTAAAATGAAAAGTCACATTCCAAAATACCAGCGGCTAGACAGCAACCAGAGCTGTAGCAGGGTCTTCGCCCAACCATTCTCCCTTTGCACTGCAGTAGCCCCCCTCGGAGCAATACGTGACTGCCTCAAAGCTTATTTCAGCCTCCGCTAAAGTTTACAAACTCCTTTTTACAAAAGTTCAAGAGGCAGTAGATCAGAAAAGGCTTCTCTCCACACAGCTGCAGCACTCCTGTTAGCACCAAAAAAAAAAAAGCTGCTATCGGAAACCATCGCGGGTCACCCCATCCCACCAAAACACAGGCACAGGATGAAAGGTGATTCTTGCTACTACCGCCCCTTCTGCTGTGCTTTGCCCTCTTGTGACTAACATCAGAGACTCCAACGCAACGCCAAAGAACAGAAATTGCAACTATCCTGTCTTTCCTGCAGAAATATTTACCTGAAGATCAAAGATCTGTTATGGGTTTCCTGGTGCGTGAAGATGAGTACCGCGTTTTATTTATTTTTCAACACGTGAGAAACTGTGGGGGGACAGTAAAACTGCAAGCCCCTCCATCGTTCGCTCTTACACAGCAAGCTAGTGCCTAGATTCGGGGATACTCGCTACGTAACCCGATCAGTCGCTCATCCAGCAGCAAACGCACAGCCCAGCGGACGGAGGAGACAGTGGTGCCCAGAAGTCACCCAGAGCTGCCCGCAAATGCTGGATCTGGGACCTCGACAAAACGTATTTTGGGTGATCCTAAAGGCTGCTCAGAGGGAGGGTCTCTGGTGCTGTTGGGAGAGCTGGTGCCTCCGCCGTCCCCCACTGCATACGACGAGCTCCTCCGCCCGCACCGTCTGGCTGTTACCTTCGAGGCCACCCGCCACTACGAGGGCCCTTCCCGGCACCGCCGCGCGCCGACTCCCGAGGCACAGC